TATATATATATATTCTACAGAGATGGGGACTCGTGACTCAGACTTGACTTGGACCCTAAAGACTTGAGACTTGACTTGGACTTGTGGTTTGACACTCGCGAACAATGCAAGTCTTTTCACTGCCCGGCTCATGATTCTCACTCCCTCAGTACACATCCATGCTCCGCTCCTTTGAGAACAAATACATAAAGTTTTAAGAGCAAAGACATTTACTCCTGCTCTCAAATTTAAAATATACACTCTTGATTAAAGTCTAAATAATTCTTCCATACACTTCGGCCCCCCTCACCTGAGAATGGGAGGGGCCAGCGCCATCCAATGTTAATGACGTGTACCCTATGTGATAAACAGAGCTTTAGCATGGCAGATGCGTTGCAGTAAGCAGCGACGCTGACATTCATTATAAGCTTTGCTTACAGAGACTTTATTTAACGTCATGACAAGAGAGACTGGCAAAATGCAAAGTGTGTGAAGTCCAAAATCCAAAATGTGTTTTTGTGATGACTTGTGCAGCTGTTTTACTTTAAGGATTCTGGTTCATCATCTTCACTGACATGCTTTTATGCATTTAAAATATATTTTCTGGTCTTTTATTGTAAAATCAGCAGCAGACTTGTTGGATTTGTTCTTTGTCAATACAGTATGCTTTTTTAAGACTACAAGTGCAAAATACAGTTAACAATACTCTAAATGCTTGATTGTTATTTCAACCTTAACCTTATCTGTATTTTTTTTAAACAGTATTGTTTTTAATATTTTATTAAAATATAGTATTATAGAATATAATCTAGAATACATTTGATCAAACTGCCAGTTAAGTAATACATGCAACTAGACTTGGAAGTGAGGTCAAGAGACTTGACTTGGACTTGCAAAAAAAGACTTGCACACATCTCTGATATTCTCCAAGCAGTGATGTTGGAAGTAATTTTTGGGTTATTTCTTTCCTTAAATATTTTAGACATATTTTGCACACTTGGTCAAACTTTGTCTTTTTGACCTCAGCGATCTATGAAGTGATCTTTATGATAAGACTTTGGCTACGTTCACACTGCAGGTCTTAATGCTCAGTTCAGATTTTTTGAAAAAATCCGATCTTTTTGTGTGAACGTTCACATTACATTTTAAATGTGACCTGCATCAGACTCCTGTGTGAACGCTCCACAGCACTGATGTGACACGCATGCGCAGTAAACGACGTGACGTCTCATCAGCCAGCTTGTTTGTTTACAGAGCTAGCATGGATGCTACATTTTGCGCATCGAATCAGAAGTTGTTGTTTAATCAGAGCCGATTAAATTATTATCTGACATGCTTCTTTAGTCAGTGTTTATATCTGAAGCTGCCTCTGACCGGGATGCTCCAGTGAAGTTTTTTTTTTTTTTTTTTGAACGAAACTACGAGCTGGAAAAAAGTATCAAACTTTAGGATCGATACTCTCCGCGACCCAGGCTGGACATGTTATTATCAAACTATCTACGTGGAAAATGAAAAGTAAAAAGATGAAGCAACTGGACTTGTGTTTTGGAGCTGTAAACACACGGTGCTACAGATTTAAACAGCGAGACTTGAGGTTAGTGTCTTATCGATCCTTCACCCCCTCCCCCTGATGAAAAAGTCAGATGAATGTGACATGAGCGTTCACACTGCAGTCACTTTGAAAACATCAGATATGTATCCGATTTAAAACCACATACTGAAACGGCCTGGGTCGGATTTGAAAAAATCGGATTTGTCGCGTTCAGACTGTCATAAAAAAATCGGATATGAGTCAGATGGGTCAAAAAAATCGGATATGAGTCAGATGGGTCAAAAAAATCGGATTTGGGTCGGATTTGCCTGCAGTGTGAACGTAGCCTTAGAGGTCAGTTTGCAGCTAAAAGGTGAAAATTTACCATAGTGTAGGGAGCTTATATCCCCAGTTTAGTTCTGCCAACAAAACATTAACCTGTTGGAAGGCTTAAAGTTTCAGATGTCTGAGATGTAACTCAGCTTGGCATTATCAAAAGTCCCATAAATAAAGTCAAATATGAAGAATGCAGTGCGAACATAAACTAAATTTTACATTAAAGCTTAATTTCAAACATACATGTATTCTTACCTGAGATGACAGAGTACCACTTTCTTCTGTCAGTTCATCTACTTTCCGCTCCATAAGTGCAGAGGTGTTCTTTAACTCTTTGTTTTGATTTAACAACTCATTAAGACGGGTTTGCAAACTGAAATCAGAGTCAGTTAGACCAGTTAATTTCTTAAGTTCAACTTTCACATAGAGGGAAAAATAAATAGTAATAGAAAAGTAAAATTTATCAAAATAAATATCAAAAACAAATAAATAAATTAAAAAATCAGAGCATCTTTGGAGTTGTTGCCACAAAGCAAGAGCAACCCAACTTGCATTACCAAGTCGTAGCATTTAAAAATCTTTTTAACAGATTAAAACAGCCCTATAACAACAAATCAAAAGTGAAAAAAAGTGTGTGTGTGTGTGTGTGTGTGTGTGCTGGGTGGGGGAGGGGGGGGGCTTAGGACTGGATAAGACAATAAAGAGGATTGAATGGTGATTTAAATGTCTAATCAGTTAGTTTAGCTCCATTTTTGGGTACGTACGTGTCATTCTTGGTCTCCAGCTCATTGATTTGTTCTCTCATATTCTGCTCTTGGCTTCCTTTTTCTTCTTTCAGCTTATTGGTGTTATACTCTAGCTGATTGATACGTAATTCTAAAGAATGACAAAGTAATTATTTGACAAGATGACAAACAAAAAAAAAAAACAAGCTAAGGTGGTGCCGACTGTAATGTGATACCTTTCTGGTCAACAAGTGCACGTGTGTTGGCCAGCTCCTTCTCCAAAGTGTCTCGATTATCCCTCTCCTTGATCAACTCTTTTTGTACTTTTCTCAACTGAAATTTGGGAGTATTCATGACCTCTACCACAGGTGACCTGATGTAGAAGATAACGAAGATAAACAAGGTAAGCAGATCAGTAGATTAATGCAGTGAGCTTGTGTTAGATTTCTCTAAAAATCCACAATACCCGACTGAGGAAGACGCCACAGTTTCAATATCCACAAATGTGACCGAAGTTGTGCGGTGGAAGACAGGAGAGTCTTCATCCGAGAGCAGGGAGGCTGATGACATGCTGGAAGAAGATGTGCTCTCTGTTAGCTCGTCTTCCTTGTGGTAAGACAAACCTGAAACAAAATTTACAGTCTGTAAACTATATTCAAACCAGGGACGGAAATGCTAATTATTTTTTAAATAGAATATCTTAAATTAAAAAAGGTGACTTACGTTTCATTGCCAACACACCTCCGTCACTCTTAAACACAAACGTAACCGTAAGATAAACAAGTTGTTTCTATAATGACAGAAGAGGACGAAAGAGGACGGAACTAAAGCAAATAAAAAAATTAAACAGGTTAATGACATGCAGATGACATAAAAATACAAAAATAAAAGCCCAAGTCAAGTTCACAAAACAATATGTTACCAATTGTACAGCTTATTCTTTTTTTAAATTAATTGCTATTTTGATTAGCCCATGTCGTCGAAAGCTAATTTAGTTCGAAGCTAAAGTAACGGGCATTCCACTAAAAACCACTGCGAAGGGTAATAATGTGTCGATATGATATAGTGACTTACCGACCACAAAATAATCAAAAATACAGTTCCTATTCTTATATCTGCGTCGTCTTGCCTCGCTTTGGACTGAACATTGCAACGACCTACACTGAAAACAGTCCTGACTGAAAGTTGAGCCAGAACGATTTCAAAAGGGCTGCAGATTGAACCAACCAATCCCTCTGCACGTATCGACGCGCATAAAACAAGACGAGTTTTGATTGGGTTAAAAGCCGAAAACTGTAAGGACGTCTGAACGTCTGGGTGTTGTATCGAACAAAAGCACACCTCCCATAAAAACAAACACCCCGTCGTGGTATGCAACGTTTTACTCAGTGATAATAGACAGACAGATGGTGGTAAATCGTGTACATTTTGTAGTTGTAACTTTCTCTCTCTCGATTAAAAAAGATGATACATAATTGTGTCTGCTATAGAGTGGTGGAGAGACACTTTTCGGAACGGGTTATTTTTTTTCGACACAACACCAGCAAGTCTCACTCGTTACGCACAGTAGTTGTAGTTTGAGTATTTTATTCTTTTAAAGCACTCTAATACTGGATACTTAAATAGCATAGTTTTTAAAATGTGCTTAACAAAACCCGCAAACTACTAAACTGATAAAGTCACTATCATCTAGACTGGATAACTACATTTCCCACAATGCACTTGTTTGTTGTAGTTTCCTTGGAAACTGTTATCCACCACTCGTTTGGTAAGTTTAATAGAATGGAGCAGAATGTTGCAACAACAGCAACATGTGTGTGTGTTAAATAAACTCATGTATTTAGAGGTCGGTGAGGTGTTCACTGCTGTCCCAACAATGTATGGAGCTCCAATAGATTTACCTTTCAATCTGACAGGTGGGTATCACAGGTGGGTATACCCTTCTGTGGAGGTAAATTATGTAGGTTGTTTTCTATAAGGACTCTCAGTATTTCCAACATTTTCAATGTTTGATTCTTCAAGATACAGAAAAACTCCAGTTACAATAAATGCATTTGATTCCTGCATGCTTGTATTGTGATTTTGAACAAAGATTATTACCAATGCTTTGTTTTGTGTGAGTATTATTGAGCCTTTTCCCATCATGAAACAGTACAAAAAGGTTTACTTTAATTACTGTTTTAGATGCAGTCACCTCAGAACCCAGGAGCAGTCTGCGGCCAAGCGTCATTTCAAGGCTGAGCTCTCAGTCTCAGTGTGGGGATCTGTGTCTTGTCTGCTATGGAGGTAAATTTGTGTTTTTATTATTCAATCAAACAAAAAGCATCTTCAATCAAAAAAAATAATTTCAA